AAATCGCTTAGGCGGTTACAGCGCCAATTAAGAAGAAGAAGAAGAATTGTCAGAATTCCACTGCTGGACCATCTTAAATGACCTCCACCACAGTGAACACTTTTCCGTAATCACAAAATTTAGCACAACCCAAAATAATGTAAAATACCACAGAGAAAAGAGATTCCTACTCGAATTCGCCGATTGGAATAGATTTCGCACAACTGTAAAAGAGGAACTTTCGAAAAGACCGTATTGCGAAAACGTAACAAAGAGGCAAACAAGGTAGCAAAGGCTATTCGCATAGCAGCCAATCTCTCCATCCCACAAGCATCCAACCAAAACAAAAAGCACGTTCCTTGGTGGCACAAAACTGTGGCGAAACTCCGCAGTCAAAAAATTACGGCATGGCAACTTTTGAGAAAATTTCCCACACAACAAACCCTCCTCGAGTATAAAAAGCGAAACGCCAACTTCCGAAGAGAAATGAAGCGTTAAAAAAAACTAGTTTTGAAGACTGCGAAATCAATTAACACCAACTTATTGTCTGTCACAAGAGCAAAGTGTGGAGGCTAACAAATCGTCATACACAAACATCAATCTACACCATAAAAACAGCTCAAGCCACAATAACCGAATCTAAAGCAATAGCTCACCTGTAACTAAAGGTAAAACTCCAGGCTTTGATCGCATTTCATACTCCATGATTAAACACTTGAGCATATCTGAAACAGCAAGGCTTCTAACGTTATACGGCAACATTTTTATAATTCGGCACCCTTCCTCAAAACTGGAAAAGCTCTATCATTATCCCCATCCCAAAGCCACAAAAAGAGCCAAACCACCTTGAATCCTACCGCCGTATCTCGCTGATTTCATTCCTCTCGAAACTAGTAGAGAAAATAGTGGCAGAGCGCTTGCTACGGTTTACTGAAATAAAAAGGCTCACTTCATTCAACCTGGTCGGATGTGCCCGATTGCACATTGAATACCATGTGGCATCGAACTTGTCAACCCACAACCACCTCTCTATATTGTCAATAGACTTTGAAAAAGCCTTCGATCATTTTAAAGAAATTTCAATAATTGGGGTAGGACCCAAAATTTTTAATTTTGTCAAGTCATTTCTACTAAACCGCAAAATTAGAGTCAAGGTAAGCGGCGTCTACTCCAGCTTATACCCATTAACAAATGGCTTTCCCCAAGGCTCACCACTTTCGGTCTAACCCTTTTCCATCGCGTTTAACGAAATCATCAATATAATCCAAAGACATAAACTGGTTAACCACTGTGCTTATGCTGACTATTCTCACTATGCAATGCCAAGGACGTTAACGAATCTAACCAAATTCTTGAAGATGTGTTGAAAGACTGGACCCTAACTTCAGGGGCGAAAATTTCGCTCGGGAAAACAAAAAAAAACTGCACATACATACATATGTAAAAAACAAAATGTTATTCTCAAAACCACTCAATACAACTAAACCAAGTAACTATCGAAAACGTCGACGAACTCCGCATATTAGGCCTTATATTCACACAAAACTACTCTTGGAAGAAATAATAAATAACACACTTACCGGCAGTTGACACAGCTTATTGTTAACTTTTACACTAACACTGGGCGGGAAGCAATCCTCTTGTTCGCATGAAGTTTCTAATAGACAAAAACGTAGCTGAACCTGTATTGCATGCTCAATTTTATTACTATTCCGTATGTCACGATTTGATGCAATTTCTGTGGCTTGCTGTGGTGT